ACGAGAAGCACGGACGCCTGTCGATGGAGCTTCGCAAGTTGTCCGATCATCTCCGCGATGCGCTGCGAGCCGCAGGACTGGATCACATCGTCGTCTTCAACAGGTCCTTGGTGCGGCACTTCGCAGCGCGCCGCATCAGTCCCGAGTCTGCGTGGAGGTCTTCTCGGGCTGTGGTGAGTTGAGTAAACACTTGCGTCATAGAGGGGAGGCGGTGGTGGAGTGGGCTGTGAGACACGGAGATCATTTTGATTTAACTCGCCCTGCGGTCTGGAGGACCCTCAGAGGCTGGATCTCTTCGGGCCTTGTCAAACTCGTTTTTTGGGGGACGCCCTGTAGCGGGTACTCCAGGGCTCCGGGGCTCGCAGGGCTCCGCCGTCTAGTAACATGCCGTCGGCTCTCAGGAGCCCCGAGTTTCCCTTTGGGCTTCCTGACCTCGAGGGTAAAGACCTTGAGAGCCTTCGAGTCTCCAACGAGTCAGGGTGGGTCTCACAGCGCATCCAGAGACTTTGTTACAAGATGAATGTGCCAGGCGGCGAGGAGAATCCTTGGCGAAGGTTCCTATGGCTTCGCCCTGATCGCCTAGCATTTGCCCGCCTCCCGCAAGTTTGTGATAGAGTTGTGGATGACTGTGCTTGCGGGCGCCCGTTTCGCGCCCGCACTCGCACTCGATGTTGGAAGTGTGTTCCTCGCCCTGGGCTCGAGAAGCTCGCTTGCAAGGGCAATGGGGATCTGTTCTTTTTCCGGGAAGCCTCATCTGGAGCTGACTGGTTTTTCGGAAGGCGGGTTCAGCACTAAACTAAAGAATGCGCACCCGCCTGGACTGTGCGCTCTCCTTGCAGAAACGTTGCATTCCTCTTGCGTTGCACAGCAGTCCACTGAAAGATGGAAACGTATGCGGGGTTACCCCAGCACAATGCTTGAGTAGTGGGCCTAAGGTTTGAAGTGTGGCACTTTGTATCGCAGTTTGTGCCAAGCTGTCAAGCGTGCCTGCGTACTGTTCTTAACCTCAAGCAGCTTCCGCCACTGGCAAAAGAGAAGACCATGTAAGTTATTCACGTGAATGATCTGCCGTGTGTGCCGCTGTCTTTTCTCAAGGCACCTCGCTCGGCCCACGCCAGCCCAAGGCCTCTCCTTGTTCGGTGCCGACAGCATTTTGTATCGCAGTTTGTGCCAAGCTGTCAAGCGTGCCTGCGTACTGGTCTTAACCTCAAGCAGCTTCCGCCACTGGCAAAAGAGACGATCATGGGTTATTTTGTGGCGGTCGCCGTCTTGGAGTCGTTCGTGAGATCGAGTGTGACACGTGCGTTTCTACCGTGGGACCGATGGGAGGTCGACAGTGTCATCGAGGCCGCCCAAGCGAACATCCCAGGCATCGCAATCAACGCGGCGATGGCGACCATTGCTACCGCAGTCGAGTGGCTCTAGCAACCTTGACGCACAATCAGCTCCACCGCCTCTTCGCGATGTCAGCGGGCGGCGCGTGCCTGTCCACGAGTGCCCCCTCAACGCCAGGGCCTGCCAGCGGCGCTTCATATGGTGCGTCGCGGAAGCAGGTGCAGCGGTTCAAGCACGACGAGGGTTCCAGAGCAGCGTTCGTGGAGCTCGCCTTCTCCTGCGTCTGGAGTGGCCAGCAGTTGTCCGATACCTTGGCCAAGGTTCTGAGGGTTGCGTGCGTAGCCTGCCAGACTTCAAAATCCTCGCAGCGCAACCACGGCAACAACGACATGGAGCAAAACGCGTTGGTCTATGTGGAGCGATACTCTGGCAAGCCCTTGGAGTTCGAGCTCACCCGCAATCAATGCACAAGGGATCGTGACGCACCCCGCACGGTTACTGCCAGTTTCATGGGGCCTCCGCAGGGCATGGAAGCGGATGTTTGGCGGATCTTTCTCCACGTGGCTCGAGGGAAAGAGCTCCTTCCGGATCATGCGCGTACTGTCGTGAAGCGTTGGCGAAGGTGGGCGCCCCCATTCCAGACGTCGAAGGAGGGGCGGAAGATGAGCGGCCTCCAGGCAAGGGATCCCCGAGGAAGACCGGGGCGTTGCAGTTCGATCGCACTGATCCCGCAGCAGGAGCCAAGTTCTGCCAGCTGCGCAGACGTTTCCGCATCCGTTCCAGAAAGCGCCTTCCCCGGGCCCTGCTTGAGTTCGGCTTCGGACCGTTGTGTCCCGATGCTGCGGTCTCGATTCCTGCCCCGGCGCCTCCAGCGCAGCCAGTGATTCAGGCTTCGCCTCCTGTAGTCCAGCCGTCGGCTCCGACTCTAGCCAAAGTCTCCTCTTGCGGCGGAGGCGGTTTCGCCGCCGCTGGCGCAGGCCCCAGCGCCAGTCGCGGCCCAGTGCAGGAATCGACGAGCCCACCGTTGCCACGAGACGGCGGGGGCCCCTCGCTGCCTCCGCAGAGCCCACCGCAGCCGTCGCGCAAGCCGCTCACGAAGCAGAAAGCAGATGCTGCGTCAGATTCTGAGGCGGCGCAGGAGTCGGAGCCAAACGCTGCCAGCCGGTCGGCGCCCATGGCGCCTGCGGCGGCGCCCGAGCAGCCGCCGCTCGAGTCGCCAATTCAGCCGGGAGGCAGCGACGCGGGAGATTTCATCGCAGAGTGGGGAGGTGAGGGGGATGTCCGCGCGCGCGATGTTGCTCAAGATGCGCTTGCAGAATTGGGCACGGCCTGCGCTGAGAACACTGAGGCGCAGCGCGAACGGTCGGCGGAAGCCGCTTCCGGTTGGCTCGCGCTGTCTGGTTCGCCGGCGGGCGTCGCCCCATGGGTCCCGAGGACCACGAAAGTGGACGGAATGCAAGAGAGCACGGAGGCGGCAGAGGCTCGCGCTATGCAGTTGCGCGGGGTGAGCATGTCCGCCATCGCTCTGTGGACATCCATGCCGACGCCCATGCGCAAGCAATGTTCGCGTGCATGCGAGCCGAAGTGTTTCTGCAATACAAAGAGATGGCGAAGAATGGGGGAGCGGTACATGGCGCGGGCCTCGCGTTCATCGGCCGTCCGCCAGCATGATGGGCAATTTCGCGAACTGGCAAGCGCCGGGTCTCTCGGAGCCATTGCGCTGAAGTCGATTACTGCAGCCAGTGCTACGGACAGGCGACCAGAGCTGAGGGCGAAGTACAAGACGCTGCGCGAGAGGTCTTGCCGGACGCCGTGCATCAGAAGATCTTCAAGGATAAGTTGGTCACAGATCAGCAGCGCTTCGCGGCGCTGACACAGATGATGGTGTCGCTGCACAAAGGCGAAGTTGTCGAGTTGGACGAGAAACTCACAAGGTGGAGATTCGTCCGCAAAGCTCCAGGTTCTGCCAGTGCCCCTGGGTGGGAAAACCAGCACTGGCAGCGTTGCAAAGGCGGGACACACGTTGAACCCAACATTGACGGGTGGGGATTCGGCGAGGCGGGTCGGCTCAACGAGCGAATGGCCAGCATGGATATCAGAGCGCAGACCATTGCAGTTACGCAAGTGAACCCGAAGTTTCCGCCCCGGGACGCCTTCTCCGACTTCCACCCAGACTGGGAAATCGTCAAAGCTCATCTCGAATACCCCAACGAGTACGCCGACTTCCCCATGGAGTACGCCAACGCGAATAGCCGCCCGGATCGAAGCCAGGCTCAGCGATTCTTGAGGCGAGCACAAACCAGCCGATGACTTTGGCCAGGTGCGCCAGGCATTGCACCTCTGCGTTGGTGCGAAGGTAATGCTAACTCATAATCGTATCTGGGGTGTGCCCACGATGCACGTTGGCCTCATGGATGTCGCCTGGGGCGTGGTTGTGGAAATTCTGTACGTCCCCATGGGTGGGCATCAAATTGATGGGAGTGTATTATCTTCGACCAGTCTTCCGAGTTTTACCCTCGGAGCGTATCTTCGGGATGAGCACAAATTTCCTGTTCCGGATTTCGTCGTTGTGCAGTATCCAGATTACAAGGGCCTTGCTTACTTCGAAAACCTGCCTAGGACCTGGGTGCCAGTTCCGTGCGCCGAGGTGCAGCACAAGGCCATTGATTTTGTGATTCAGGCCAATGTGCCGCTGCGCTTCGCTTGGGCTGCAAACACTCCACAAATCATTAATAATCACCGCGCACGAAGGGTGTGTCGTTACTTTCGAGGGGTGCAGTGGGCGCGCCCCAGTAGCGAAGCTAGGGCTCGCGTTTGTGGCAACGGCACGAGCCACCAAATGGTGCCGCATGGACTTCCATAAATTGTTTCCAGTTCCAGAGTTTCTTGCGGCGCGAAGATGTTCTGGTCGTATGTTTTTAGCCTCGACGGGGACCTGGTGGTATCTATTTGGTTGCTGGTGTCCCGATCATACTGGACCACATTCGCTCTGAGATCGTACTGCACGCCACTCCTGTCGGTGTCCCGTCTGTGTTCCGTGGTGTCTCCTGGTGGAATCGATGGTGAAGTCGTTATGCGATCGCGGGAGCTTCGAGGCCAAATAAACGCCACCAGCAGCTGGCGAGAGGCAGTTCTGGTGGTATGTATTTGGCCTCGAAAGGGTGTTGATGGTACAGTGCCGTTTTTAATAGATGTTCCGCGTGCGGATCACGTGATAAAAAATCATAAATTTAGTATTAAAAACAACGATAAGTTCATTCATACATTCATAAAGTAATCATGTATTGCAACATCTATGTTTTTAACATTCGATGTATTAAAAACTGCCTTGTATTTACTCGACATCGAATGGGTTTCGCCGGTATGTATTGAACCCTCGGAGGGGTTCTGGCGTGTGGAACCGAAGTTCATCTCTGTCAGTTGCAATTGCAGCATTTGCGGCTCGCGCGGGTAGCGGCTGTGTCGCCTCCATTACAATCGCCATTATGCATTCTCACCATCCGCATAATCGTGCATCGTCGCTGTCTCGTCGCCATCAAAACCATCGACATGTTCGTCAGTTCGTTTTCCCTCCCCCCAACCTCCTCATCACCCGAGGGGTGGTCGTACAGGTACAGCACCTTGCCAGACAAAAACTAGCATTCTGGCATACCTCAACGTGCCAGGGGGCACGGTGGCGGATGTCCTCTGGCGTAGTGCCCACGACAACGTCCAGGTGTTGCGAGATGCCAAGCTACGCATGTAGTTGGAGGTGAGGGGGCTGGAGAGGGGGTCAACACGCAATTGCATGAATTAATGTATTCGGAGATCGCCAAACCCATCGACACCACCATACAGAGGCGTGGTGTTGGGCGTCTGCCCTCAGGGCGTCGTTGTCCTATCCCAGATCGTTGACACTCCTCATTGTGATTGTGCAAGCCTTCTGGCGTAGTACTGACAACAACGCCCAGTTCTTGCGATACAGGAAGCCAAGCTACGCATGTAGTTGAACAGCATCTGCGTTCACCGAGCTGGGCGCAGCCAGGTTGAATGTGGGCGCACAGCAACTGCAGCACGGCCTGCCTCCAGAGGTGGTGAATTCGGGCTACATAGCCAACAGTGCGGCAAGCTAAGAGCCTCCAGCGCCGTTAGGTCGGAGGTTCGCGCTTCCGATCCGGCTGCTTTAGGATTTCTGCTTTGGCGGTCAGTCCATTGACGGGCCTCCAAGCCGCCTCGCGCAGCATTTCGGGCGACTCGGGCAGTGCGCGTTTACAGTCCTCTGGCGCAGCTCGCCGAGCAAGACGCGAAGGCCGAACTCGGTCACCCGCGAGCCCAAGGCCCCCAGCCACGCACCAGCCGCCGCTGATGGTCTAGTTTCAGCTGGGCTGAAGTGCCCAACTACAGTGTGGTATTTCGGCCGGGCTACAGCTAGTTGCAGTTCGCGAGATAGTCGCCTGCGAGTTTAGCCTGCCTACTTGTTCTCGCGCCTGCTTCTCACCTACAAGGCTTCGCACTCTGCCACTTGCGCCCCGCATGATGGGCGAGTGGCTCGAAAGGTGTCGCATTGAATTCGCGAGCGGGCCTTCCTTCCTGGGATCATCTTGAGGCTTCCAGGGCAATCTTGGGCGATCTTGGCGCCATGTTGGGGCCTTTGAGAACCGCATTGGGGCCATATTGAGCAATGGTTGGGCCATCTTGCAGTCTAGAGGCATCTGAGGGCACATTTCGGCCGCCTTGGGCGATTTGGGGGGACACCTTGGTACCGCTGCTGGCGCCGTCTTAGCGCAATATTGGACCCACCATCACTGGCCATTTGGGGGGGGCCATCAGTCAACCCTTTGATTATGCTGATGATCAAATCTGACGACACGGAACTGCAGGGCATCGGGGCGCATGTTGATGGGCTGGCCTTTGGCGGCGAGGGCTGTCTGAGGACTCTGGTGCTGTCGTGAGCCAGCACGAGGCACGAGATCCGCTGCAGCTTAGACGTGGAAGCGTCAGACGGTAATCCACCCCCCGGTTCGCGAAGTGCGGACCGAGCCTCCAGGGGGGGGGGGGGGCGTGCGGCACTCGTGACGAGCTTGGGGCGCCATCTTGATGAGGCAGGGGCCCTGTGAAGGCTGGCATGGGAGGCGGCGCTCTTTTGCGGTAGATTCGCGTCGTGTCGACCAGCGGCGACCCCGCCGCGGGCGTTCAAGGTTGAACGCCGCCAGTGGCCCAGAATCGGCCCATATTGCGAAGGCCTTACGGCCGTTGCCGCCGACCCTGAAGATGACGAAAGACAACACGAGGGGGGGGCAGGAGGAGGAGGAGGAGGAGGAGGCGGAAGGGAGTAGGAGGAGGAAGGGTGAAGGGGGAGGAGGAGGAGGCCTTATGGATGTTGGTTGGGATCTCGTGGTTGACCTCTCGGGGGCGTCTGGAAGGCAACTTGAAGCCTCTTGGGGGCCGTTGTGGGGCCTCTTGGGGCCTCTTTTGGGCCTCTTGGGGCTTCCGGAGGCCGTCTTCGGCGCATCTTGGGGGCGTCTTGGCGCCGCTCGGGGGCCTCTTGGGGCCTTTTGGGGGCCTCTTGGGGCTTCCCGGGGGCCTCTTAGGGCGGAAGTCTCGAATTCTCGGTTCCTCGTCCCCCTCTTGGCTGTTTCTTGGGCCCGTCTTGGGGCCCTATTGGGCCGTCTTGGGCGCCTCTTAGGCTGTCCTGGGGCCTTCTTGGGCCGTCTTGGGGCCCTCTTGTAGGCCTCTTGGGGCGCTCTTGGGGGCCTCTTGGGGGCCTCTTGGGCCGTCTTGGAGTGTCGGAAAGCCGAAAAGGCGAGAAGGCCAAAATCATTCAAAAACCGATGTAAAATTGACGATTTTGGCGCCTGGGGCCCTCTTGGGTGTGCTCTTGGGGCTCTCTTGGAGCGTCTTGAGGGCCTCTTGGGCCGTCTTCGGGCCGTCTTGGGCGTCTTGGGGCCATCGTTCGTCGAGTCGAGGCCCCCCTGTACCCTTTTGGGGGCGCCTTCTGTCGCTCTTGGCTCGTCTTGAAGCTTTTCTGAGCTCCAGGACCCCCCGGGGAGGATGCGTATCTGGGTGGCGACCCCCCCCGGCGACCCCCCCCGGCGACCCCCCCCGGCGAAGGTTCGCGTCGTGTCGACCAGCGGCGACCCCGCCGCGGGCGTTCAAGGTTGAACGCCGCCAGTGGCCCAGAATCGG